GGGTTGTGTTGCTGTGCTGCTTTCATTTTCTCCTCTTCCCACTAATCTCTCCTTCATAGTAAATATTCTTGGGGTCCTGATTGTTACTGGTCCCAGCAGGCTGGTTTAAGTCTCGGCTTGTGAAAATTTCAGTCTGAGTTGTCAGCGCCAGCTGTCATCACGCTGGAAGTATTTGCCTCGCGTCTCGCCTTCCTTTGTTCACACTTGTTTCGATCTTAAAGATAAACCCGTTGTTCATCACCTGAGAATAAAAGTTGACTCGGAGTTTGCAGTGTTGAGGTTATTTTTTCCCGTCAGATCAGGACTGTGAAGGGAGAGAAAGAACTTTTATTCGGGTCTCAACTGCTTCTAAAGAACAAACAAAGTACTTAAAAAAAGCTGTTTTTGGGGATTTGGTTGATTTTTGGTTTAAAAAATCTGATAATTTCACCATTCAGAAACCACTTGCTACATTCTTGTTGGTTGTGCAGGAGGCTCTACTGATGCTTTTCAAAGATGTACAGTCATACAACTGCACGTCTGTGCGCAGTTATTTTCACTTACTATTGTGAACGTTGGGGGCGTGGATTGGACTTAAAGTGACAGAAACATTCTGACCTGAGCAGGATGAATATGTTTTGTATAGGCTACAGACATATCCTTTTTAGAAAAGATAACAAAAATTGAAATTCAATGGAGTATTTGTATTGAATGGTCACAGAAAATGACATTAAAAGTAATAGAGCAGTGATATGTCTTATCTTATTAGGTTTAAATCTGTTCTGTTTTCTGTTTTATATAGTTTTCCATCCCACAAACAAAAACCTACACATCCTGCTTTTGTTATGGCTCATAAAGATGTTTGGTAAGAATCTGCCTCAGATGGACTTTAATGGTGTTTGATTTCTGAATCGAGACCAACAAATCCATTCTGTCAATGCACTGCAGCTTGTGATGTCAGATGAATGAAGACAGTTAAAATATTTATTGGGTTGGTGGTGCAGCAGCTGCATCAGTCGTGTTTTAGTGAAACGTTGTGGTTGTTGCAGCTTAAGAAGATTTATTGCTAATGGACGCCGCAGAGAGGTGGCTCATCGCTCCTGTTCATCTCCTTTAATTTAAGAATGATAAATGATTTAGAACGGATGTAATATTTCAATACTATTTCCAATATTTTATTTGTCTGTCTCTGAAATTCCAAGACAGCAGCTTAATTTAGGGAAATGGTCTTAATTGCCATTAATTTTACTCATGCCATAATAAGTCATTGCAAATCTAAGTGTGACCTATTAATTGCAATTACATGTTTTTCTATATTTCACCAACAGAAACATTTGGTATCAGCACACCAAATGTAAGTCTGAGTTAAACAAGTTTATTTTTATACATTTGCTACAGCATTTGTTAACGATAGAGGCAGTTAATTAATTTATCATCATTCAGCTTTAGTGTTCATAATCTGTTAATCTATTGAGATTTATTTTTGTGTTAGGCAAAATAAACCGTAAATAAATAAATGTTCTGCTCTTTAATCGACTTCCAGAGCTAAAAGCTGATTAAAAGAAGTTTTGCATCAGTTCAAGTCCGAAATTATTAGAAATCACAAAAATTACTTGTATACAATGAAGTGTTTAGTTGTTTAGCAATGATAAAACATTTGAACTTATTGTTTAAATGTTCTTTTATTTCATCACTTCATTCATTTTATTTTATCTTAATGTTTTAAGTTTAAATTTCAGCTGACTGAAGTTCTTTAAATGCTTTTTTCTAGTCTTGCACAATTCTGCTTCTTGAATTCAAAATGTTCTTATACTTTTAGCTTAAGTTCCACTCTGAGTGTTATTCTTTCAGCAAATGCAATTTTTGGAGTCTGTAACTTTATTAATTAGTCATTTCTCAAATTGATTAATCCGATTAATTGTTTCAGCTCTATTTGTGTTTGCATGGCAGTTTAATTTCCCTCAAGGATCATTACAGTGTTTTTAATGTTTTAATTGTTTCTCTCCAGTTGTTGCCTGCAGACAGACACAGGAACCCTTTTCATTCCCATTAGTGTCTGATAGGATCCTGGCTGTAATCCGTGATCAGTCCCTTAAGCTTTTAAGAGGCTCAATCATTCAGAGTAGAAACAGAAAGGTGGGCACCGCCTTCCTGAAGATTTATAACAAAATAAATAACGTTTCACAACCAAGGTTTAGGATTTAAATCGATATATTTTTGTTAAGGTCTGTTCTGATTATTGCATCTTCCAAACGCACTTCCTTTGGCTCTTCTTTTGTCGTTGATTCTGCTCACATCCTATTATTTGACTAATTTAGATCGTGCATGGCAGCAAAATGGAGGTCAGCACTAAGGGAACTGCTGCTAATTGCTTCCTTCTGACACACTTTGGCTGACAGGCTTTTCATGGTTACTGTACATTTTCTCCTGCTGGAGCCGCTGGTGGCGTCCGGCGAAGTCAGCAGTGAAGGCTGCAGACAGAGGCCCGTTTTTTGTTTTGTTTTTTTGTCTCCTGTTAAAGGAGAGGAGGACGGAGGAGGAAAACTTTCCGCCCGGTTGAGTAGAAATCAGGATTCCTGCGCAGAGCGAAACGTTCTGGAAAAGTTTCTGGTCTGGAGACCAAAACAAATTTACAGACTTTTACTGTCGTCTTTGTCCTAAAAGCTGCATCCAATCAAACATCCAATCATCCATCCATCTGCTTGTCCATCCGACCATCCATTTATGTTTGTCCGTCTCTCAAGACATCTACATCCAATCTTCACTCCATCCATTCATATCCATCCATCCACACATTCATTTATTGCTTTTCCTTCCTTCCACAATCTGTAAAAGCCCAGTAAAGGTAGCAAGAGAAGACAAACAATACTGCTGAGGGGTTTTCTTTTTTACTTTTATGCTGAAAACTGCTGAGTTTTAAAGAAAATTCTCACCCAATTTTGATTTTTCAGTGTCAAGTGGGCATCAATCTACAGCACAAATAAACTCTCCAACCTCACCTACATCCCTCCTACTGTCTTCTGCTTCTCTTGCCATTAATTTTCTCCAGGACAGAGACAATCATTTAGTCCAGCTAAAGGCCATTTAGTGTGAAGAGAAACAGTTTAAATGGCATCTTGTGCTGCTCTGAAAGGAAGGAGCCATTAGTGTTGGGTTACTGTGAAAGTCCACACAGTGTCACCTTTCTGGAAGATTTATTACCTTTACCGCCTTATAAATTGGGAAATTATGATGTAATACATTTACTTTGTTAACTGACCTCAACATTTGCTCATTTATGTTGCCGTTTATCTACAGAAATGGTTGTGCTGTGGTCAAACTGGACCATTGTGTCCCAGTTTGCTGGCTGGCGGCCGTGGGTGGGAGAAGGGTGCAGTGTTAAACGCGAGCGGTGGAAGGCTGGTACAAGACCACTTATCATCCAAAGAGCCTTTTTACAAAGCAACGCCACAGTGTCCATCTCCGCAGCCTGCGCCTTCAACAAAAGGCTCTCTGAAGCCCACCATGTTTGGCCTCGCTCACCCCTCTGACCTCGATGCACCGCCTCCGTTCTGGGTCTTTACGTAATTTAACTGCATGTTGAAAGCGTTAGCAACTGATGCTGCAGTTTTAAATAACGTTGTGAGTCGTTTTGTCCTTTGGGGAAGTGAGTAGCACTGCTGTGTGCAAAACTGAGCAGACCTTGACAGAAACCGATAAGCTGCTGGAAGAATGAGAAGCATCTTCTTCAGAGTTGCATGTTTAAGCATGTCTGTTGCTAGTTTTGTAGCAGAAGGGAAAATGACAGACGAAGTCATTGCTTTAACAACCATCGCTTCTCATGCGTCGCTCTGGACTGGAGAGGGATGCATGACAGTCCAGCAAGAAAACATTTCACCAATCTGCAAATTTTTAAAACTGTTGGTCACTGAAAAACATGAAGGAAAATGTATTATGGTCCTTAAATGGCTTATATGGCTTTGTTTATTTTTTTATTGTATTACATTCAATAAAGTCAAAGCTCAAATCAATTCTTAAATAAATTAGCAGCAGCTAACCATTAGCACAACTCTTACTACTTTCAAATTGATGACTGATGAAAATAAACTGAGAACTGATAAAACAAACCTATTTACATCAGTGGTGTTCAAAGTTTTTGCCAAGTTGCATTATTTTTCTCTTATTTATTCCATTAATTAGCATCTTGCTTTGCTTGAAACTTTTAAATCTACAATTTTCTAAAGCAGAAAGTTTTAGGATGATGTAAGGAAAATCAAACTCTAAGCATCTGCTATCTGACTCACTCCACCGCAGTGATCTGGTGCTCCTGCCGTCCGTTACTAGCTGTAAAACAGATCCGCGCTCTGCTTCCAGTCATGTTAGCAGCAGAGCAGCAACTGCCAAGAGCCACACACAGGCATGCATGATGAAATATGACATCTGACTCTGCTGCCTTAGCAGAGCGTCTCATGTTGGGGGGTTTCGGTCCCGAGGGGCTGCAGTGCTCAGCTCTGCATGCCAGGTCTGGTCTGCAAGAAACATGAGGCGGTAAATGGAAACGAGGTTCACATAATCCCCTCCCTCCCAGGCTGGAAAGTCGTCCGACAGGTGGACTGATTTTTCCTTAAAATATGTTTGTCAATTGATCATTTATTAGATTAAAATCAAGTCCAGTTGATTAAGTAATGATGTCCGTTAGAACATCTTCTAGTGCTGCAGCCATTTCCATCTACGATAACTCAGATTTATTCAAATTCTTCAGAATTACAACAACATTTAATTTTCCTTTGGGATTATTAAAGTATTTTATCATCTTCAAACTTTTTTTTGTGGGCTGTTTTGGCTTTTCAGTGCTGATTTAGTTTTTATTGCTTCAGGAAATAAATGGTAGAAATATATCGTGGAAAACACCGAAGTTGTTCAAACCGGTGTGGTCAGGTTGCACAATTCCACAAATTATGCAAACTTAATGTTTGTGTATATGTATCAACATTTATGTATCAGAATAAAATAAAATGGCTATTTTATTTTTTTCCATTCAGCTTTTTGACAGGGTGAGGGAGGAGAACCCCGACTTCCACCAGAAGATCGTCCCAATCAGCAGCGAGCTGACGCAGCCGGGCCTGTCCATCAGCGCGGCGGACGTGGAGCGGCTCACCGCCTGCGTCAACATCGTCTTCCACTGCGCCGCCACCATCCGCTTCGACGAGCCGCTAAAGTAAGCGACACAGAAACTTCCTGTTGTGGATGTGCCGTTTGATTGGTTTCACAGAGGAGAAATGAGCGGGTCTGGGTGTGAAATCAATGGTTTGCAAAACAAAAGAAGCAATCAACGGTAGGCAATGTGACAGTTTACCAAACAAATCAGGCTTCCTGCTTTAGTCAGGAGTTTACAACAAACACTGATTCATTATTTGAGGTCAAATTTCATGGTTTCCTGTTACTGTTTCACCATCATGTTGCAGAATCATTCGAGGTTAACTCGCTGGGCGATGTTTAAAGATAAAATATCAGTTTTTATCTGCACCAAGAACCACTGAAGGTGACCGCATGAAAACCTCAGTAGAAGACAATTCCGCTCTCCTCGAAATATAAACAAAAATAGATTAACATCTGATTTTAGAAGATTTCTCTTTTATCTTTGGGGAAATTAAAAATGCAAACTAGGTCTAATTTTGTTTTATGTTTATGCCTTCCGAGAAGAAGATGATTGTATTCCTTTCTATGACATGAACAGCAGTTTTCAACATGGGGCCCTGGCCCCTTCAATCCCCCTCTTGGGGTCGCCACTGAATAAAGAGACGAAAAATAAAACAAACACCTTCATCACAGAAACAACAAGTAGCAGCAGCTTTTCGAGTAAAAGCAACATTTAAACATAGTTATTGTCACTTGAGCAAACATTTATTTTTCTAACTTCCTGCAGCTGCTGGCTGTGCTGCAGACCCAAACCGAAGCAGTCAGTGGAGACGTGGTTTAAACTGACTGTAGAAACGACAGTTTTTTTTTTTTTAAATCAGCTTTAGAGTCGGTTATTGCATCACAACAGCAAAGACGGATGGGAGTTGACTGAGCTGGAGGAAGACGCTCTGCGGTTTGTCCGTCTTCCTCTCCGCCTGCTGGCGTAACGCCCTGCACCTGCCTGCAGGGGGAGCGGCACCCACACACGCTCGTCTCTCTTCCTGTCGCTTCTCAGCTGGAGTGATCGCCCACCTGGAGCCGCCACATCTTACCTCACAGCTCCACTGACCACGTTTACCCGCCTGGTTCAGGATCGGCTTCTTTTAGGAGGAATGAAAAATTATTTCAAACCAAACTGGACCAGATTAACTCCGATTTATTATGGTTTTTATAAAACCAGGCAGCTGAATTATTAAAAATTCACCCACTAATTCATTTCAAATGACCAGAACTGAGTTTTATGCTTATTTCTTCTTTATTTATAGTAAGTAGAAATGTACAGTGGTGTATTAGAGCAATTGCAGATATTAATTTTATTTATTTTTTTTTTTGTAAATTTGGCAGAAAAAACTGATTTTAATCTCAGAAATTTTCTAAAATAAAACTTGGAAATTTTTGAGTTTGAAAAGTTGAAAATTTGCAACTCAAAAAATTTCTGAGTTTAAAATTTCTTTTTTCTTTGTTTTTCTTTTGGTTAAATTAGTATTTTGTTCTCAGACCAAAACCTAAAGTTTTGTTGTATTTTATTCTAGCATGTAGAATATCTTCACATAACAGTAACAAATGACACCATTAATAAAAGTGAATTGAAACATTTGTTTTGTTTTCTTCTCCAAAGTTTGGAGCTGAAAAAGTTTGAAAATATTCCTTGAAAAGTTCTTGAATTTTATTGTAGGAAAAATGTACCATCCCTGATTAAGACAAATGTAAAATATGACATATTTTTACATTTTTAATGCAGCGGAAAAATGAAATATTTTGACTCGACGGAGCTAAAAGGATCCATCAGTGAAATTACAGAGCTCAACATATTGCAGCATATATTAAATGTTGAATTACTCAACATTTAAAGTGCTTTCTCTGCAAAGTGAGCTTAAAGCTGTCAGCAAACAAACATTCAGAGACATCAAACTTCTCCTCTCCCACACAGAGTCACAGCTGCTCAACCTTTACCTCCTCCACACATTTAGCGCCGTCTCTCTCTCTCTCGCTCTCCTGCAGGCACGCCCTGCAGCTGAACGTGATCGCCACGCAGCAGCTCCTCAGCCTGGCGCAGCAGATGCACCACCTCGAGGCCTTCATTCACATCTCCACCGCCTATGCAAACTGCAACCGCAAGTACATCGACGAGATCATCTACCCGCCGCCGGTCGAGCCCAAGAAGCTCATCGAGTCTGTCGAGTGAGTGGACGACTTTCACGCCAACGATTAATCCGATTAATCGTAATTAATCAATTAGCTGGAGTATTCAGACTTATTTTAATAATATTAATTGTTTCAGTCACACTTTTGTCAACCATCTTTAATGTTTTTAGGAAAAACTCTTTAAACATTTTCTTTTAGCTTTTTTTGAGTTTCTATAGCCCAGTTAACGATTAATCAATTTCTAAGTTGGTTGACGATTATTCCAATTAATCACGATTAATCGTTTCAACTCTACTGTAAATATGTGACATCCATTCTTGTTATGGTTTTTGGTTTTCTATGGACGGTTCATTTGGAGGGTTTTTTTAATTTGTGGTTGTGGTTTCAGGTGGATGGACGACGGCATCGTGCGGGACATCACGCCGCGGCTCATCGGCGACCGGCCCAACACGTACACGTACACCAAAGCCCTGGCGGAGTGCGTGGTGCAGCAGGAGCAGGACAAGCTGAACATTGGCATCATCAGACCCTCCATAGTGGGAGCCAGCTGGCAGGAACCTTTCCCCGTAGGTCCAACTATTATTACACTGCAACGTGCAAAACGGAGGATTATTAGTTTAAATTAAACTATCTGAACAGCTTGGATAATATTAAAATAGTATATTTGTATTTATTGAGATTTTGGCTGGTAAATGTAAAAATATTTTTAAAAAACTAAACAAATAATGAAAAGGTAAGTTAAATTAACAGAAATATTAAAACTCTTTCCTTTAATAATGCAAAAAAATTAATTTAAAATTGAAGATCGATTTGTCTGAAATTATCTAAATGAATAAAAATATTAGAACTAATTAAACAATTTTCTGAATGAACAAAAATATTTTTAAACATTTCATTTTAAAAATGGACAATAAATTATCAATATTTGTATTTGAAACAATAAAAATTGATCAGCCTGCCATTGGCAGGGACTCTTTCAACAGACAAAAGACCCTAAAAAGGAATGAAGAAATAAAAAATAAAATACATAAACAATAAAAGCAGGAAGTTTAACTAAGTGAAATAATCAACTGTTTTATTTAATAAAATATAAATTAACCAAAAAAATGTAGAAATTATTCAAAAGCAAATGCAAACTGACAAAAATAAATCAATACATTTAAAAATATAAATGGAAAAAATAGATATTAATGTTATAGAAAAAAAATTTGAACAAATAAAGACTAATAAAAAACTCATTTAAAATTAAATAAATAAAAATTGGTGTTAAAAAATAAGAGTAAATATTTTTTATTATCATGTTGGTGGCATTTCTCTTCAAACGGGCCGGCTCTCACTGCAAGCTTCTTATTTAGACGCCTGTTTGTGTGTGTCGTGTTTATTTGGCCCCCAGGGGCCCCTCCACACATGTAGCAGTCTGGTAGCGGCGCTTTCATCCATTTTTAATGGAGTCTAAGTGAAGCTGACAAGTGCTGCTCCCCTCTGTGTCCCACCGCAAACACCACAGGAAGTAACACAACGCCGCTTGTGCTGCTGCTCCAATCAGCTGATGCCCACTCTCTCACTCTTCTTCTTCTTGTGTTTTTGTGGTGGTTGGAGTATTGATCTACCACGGTGCATTTAGGGACATTTTAAATAGAGAAGAAGATAATCAGACAAAAAACCTAGAATTATTTTCAGATTAGTTGTTGTCAAATCACAGAAATCAATCATCTTGTGTTTTTTTTTCTGGTCGACAGAATTCAAGATGGCCGCCATGACTGTAATACATGTTTGCAGTAAACTTTGTAGTAGTTATTGCAACCACTAATTTGATAAACTGGAACCTTAGCTATGCTAAATCACTAAATACACAAAGAAAATAGTATAAACTATTGTTAAACAGCTCATGCTAAACTTAGCAGATGTAAATTTTTTACACTAATTAAAAATATGTTTAGCATAGTGTAAGCTAATGCTAAACTTCTAAACACATTTTTAAAAATTGGCGTAAACTAATGCTAACCAGCAAGACAAATAAAAAAAATTGCATAAGCTAATGCTAAGCCACTAAACGCTTACATAAAATTAGCATAATTTAAGACAAAACTGCGAAACACTAAAAAAAAATTTGCGTAAACTAAAGCTAAATCACTTTAAAAAATCTAACTCTACTAAGGCTTAACCGTTACACAAATCTAACTTTAAACTGCTGAACACATAAGAAAATTGTGTAAGCTAATGCTAACCTTCTAGACACATAAAAATATGTATAAGCTAATGCTAAACCACTAAACACTTAAATAAGATTAGTTTAAAAGACTTAAAAACGGCGGCCATCTTGGAAAATGTCCTAATCTGAATATTCACTTCCTGTGTTTCTCTCCGCCTCGTCACCTTCTTCTCTTTCTCCTCAGGGTTGGATCGACAACTTCAACGGGCCGAGCGGCGTCTTCATCGCAGTGAGTGAACCGGACCAGCTTCCATTCGTCCGGCAGGTGGATTAGGATTAGGCTAATCTGGTGTTGTGTTGCCAGGCGGGGAAGGGGATCCTGCGCACGATGAGGGCCAACAACGACGCCGTGGCCGACCTGATCCCCGTCGACGTCGTCATCAACCTGACGCTGGCCGCCGGCTGGTACACCGCCGTGCACAGGTGGGTCTGTGGGCGGGGCTTAGCTCCTCTGCTCAGGTGGGGAATTTGATTTTATCTACAATACTGATAGATTGTAGATTATAGACAGGCTTGACTCCTTTCTTTTCTTCCTTCCTTTTATCTTCAAGTCCTTCTGGTTTTCCTCAAGTCCTTTGTTCCTTCCTTCCTCTTAACTCTTTGTCTCTTTTTTTTCCCTTATTTTCTCCTTCCTTAATTTTTCTTTCCTTCCTTTCTCTTAAATCCTTGTCTTCTTTTTCTTCATTTTCTTTCTTTCATTCCTTGGTTCCTACCTTCCTTCCTCTATAGTCTTTGTCTCCTTTTATTCTTCTTTCCTTCCCTTCTTTTTTTCTTTCTTTCTCTGCTCTTTATCTCCTTCCTACCTCAATTTTTCATTTTTCCTATTTTCCTTGTTCCCTACCTTCCTTCCTCCCTCAGCATTTCTTGTCGTGTCTTCCTTTCTTCTTTTTTTTTTCTTTCTTCCTTCGCTCCTTCACTCCCACTTCTAGTTTTCCTTTCCTTCCTACCTCCCTTCCTTCCTTGTCTACTTCTTTGCTTTCCTCTCTTGTAGTTTCTTGTCTCGTTTTTGAAAATGTAAAAACTTAAATATTTACGTTAAATTCAAAAACGTAAATGTTTAGGAAGCTTCGTTTAATCTCTAAAGATCTGATTTTGGGCTGAACAGATGGAGGTGAAACCTTTATAGTGACCAAAATGTGTGTAAAATTTGAAGAAAAAGAAAAAGTTAAACTCTTTATGTTTGACTGTAAACAGTCAAATCTGCTGCAGGTTTAATCTGAAACGTTTCACTTCTTCTTGGCCAGTGAGTTGGAGGCTGTGATTCCCTCCTCCGGTCTGGAAATGTTTTGTTCAGTTGACCCAGACTGAGTCAGACGTTTGGAGGGAAAGAGTTGGAAAAACGCAGCCGCTCCCTTTTTAAGGGCCAAAGATTCCAGGGAAACTGGAGATTGGCAGCTGCTCAGCGCCGAGTTAAATTTGGGCTGATCCTGGCAGTGAAGGGAATATTTAAGGTTTTTTAATCTGATGAAGGATCCATTTCTACTGCGTCAATAGCAGCATAATCTCATTCAGTTGTATTTAAGTCCAGACTTTGACTGGGCCACTCCAAATCCTCCAGTTAATGAGAGAGAGTCATCAAGAATCAAACAGAATTAGGACTGAAATGATTAATCGTGATTAATTGATCATTGAAATGATCATCAACTAATTTGGTAATTGATAAGTCGATGACTAAAGTATTTAAACTCAATTTAAAGTAGAAATATCAGGGTTGAAATGAATTTGATATTAATTCATCTTTGCTGAAAGCAACCTAGCGCTCCTTAAACGAATGTGATGTTGTTGCATTTTTGGCAATAAAATGTTTATTTTCTTATTTAAAAAAATTTTTTTTGCATCTTTTTATGCATTTCTATATAATGTAAAAAAGTGATTAAATAAAAAATATGCAGTTGCAGCAATTTGTTTACCCAATTAATTGATTAGTTGATTAATCGTCAGAATAATTGACAACTAAAATAGTTAGTTGCAAAAGATTTTATAAAAATTTGTTTGTTGAGGAGGAAAAACCTAAAAATAAAGGTTTGTTTCCATTTTCAATGGGTCTTGTGGTCGGCCAGCAGATCTAATTTTCCATTTTTTCTTCCACAAGGCAAAAAGTTTGTGTTAAAATACAAACATTTATTGTGACTAAAACAGACATGAATCACATTTTAAGGCACTTTTGGACCTTGCGCTCTCTTGTCTTTGCAGGCCTAAAACGGCTCTGGTGTACAACTGCACGACCGGCGGCATCAACCCGTTCCACTGGGGGGAGATCGGTGAGTACGCGGCGCTCTGATGCTAACAGCAACGCGCCGCTGCAGGTCGATACGGCGGTTTGAGCCCATCGTCTCCGTTCGCCGCTTCGTCACAGATCAATCAGCCGCCTCTGGCTCGGTGTTGCTGCCATGGCGCCTGGTTGTGGCTGTAGTGGAGGATTAAGGCTGGGAAAGGCTGCCACCTGCTGGACAGACGTAGAACGTGTCTGGAAACTTGATGTTTACTGAAGCAGAGATTAACTCTCATCTGTAGATTGTGGACTCCCACGCTAAATAACATCCCAGACAGTCGTTCAGCATTAAGTCTGGAGAAATGTCAGAGATTAACCCGGAGATTGCTAATTAATTCTTCCGTTGAGGGGAAACACTCGTTTATAATCCTCTGTCGTCGCCGGACTGCAGCAGGCTGACGGAGCTCCTCGTTACCGAATGAGAGCCAATTCATCTGTGTTGATCTGAATCTGATGACATGAAACATCTGGAAAAACCCAAACTTTATTCCTAATTCTGTTACTGACAAGAAAAACAGCCATTTATCTATCCATCCATCTGTCCAATCATCCCTCCATCCATCCAGACTTCTATGGTTTCAGTTTGTCCATCCAACTGTCTGCATGTCCATCTATCCTACTTTTCTTTTTTTCATCTCTCATTTCACTACTTTTTCTTTTTTTCTCACTCTTTCTTCTCACTCCCAAGCCCTTTTTCTCATTTTTTTCTGTTTTATTCGTTTTCTTATTTTCTTTAGTTTTCTCTTGTTTTTTTATTTTTCCAGCCATCCGTTCTTCCCTCCATCCAACATCCTTCATAACTTCCGTCTAAATCGTCAAACCAAACCGATCCCTTCGCTGCTTCTGCTCCCACAGTAATAAGCTTCCCGCCAGAATCACAACCAGATGGTTTCTATAGATCCAGATGTTCCAGATGTTCCAGATGTTATCGATCCGCAGCTGGCTCACCCGCTCATCTCGGCCCCCTGCAGCCGCCTCGCTTCTGATGGCCTGGAAACGAGGCCGAGTCTGTGACGTAACGTCCGCTGGTCACATGTGGACTGGGTGTCATGATAGAGGTCAAAGGTTACCGTGGGATGTCAGGATCCGCCTGAGAGGCCCTACCTGTCATAAAGGTGGCGATGAACGTTGCGCTTTAAAACCGTGGTCGCGGCGTTTAGCCTGGTTTTATTGCTGCATCAGGGAGGCAGAGCTTAGCGGGGATTATCCAAAACGCATAAACCTTCTGTTGCCTCAGGATTTCACAGGAAACGCTTCCCAAAGACATTTTTCATTATCTGGATTTAAAAAATATTCTCCTCTCAGCTCGTTCTCCCGATCCGAACAAAGCTGAACTCAATTAAAAAAAAAATGTTGAGATCAGAGCTGCAACTAACAATTATTTATTAATAATTTGAATAAACAAAGAGGCAAATTCTGTTAGAAAATATTAGAAATGCATAAAAATATCCAAATAATTTCTTCTTTCAAACAAGAAAATAAACATTTTATTGCCTAAAAATAAAAGCAAATGCTTCTAGTGGATGCTTGATCACTTGCAAATAAATTGTTTAGTTTTTTAATTGAATTTTAAAATCTGCTGAATTGCAGAATATGAAGAGAGAGAAGCTCAAAATATTCCACGTTAGATCAAATTTATCTTAAATGCAAAATGTTTATATTTCTGTACAGTTTTGTCCTAATTCATCAAAATGTTTTTGATTTTTTATACTCCAGTTAATGATTATTAATCATAAACAATTAATCCTATTAATGATCTCAGCCCTGGATCTTCACTCTCCTTCTTGTCTCTTATTTAACTCCAATCATTTCTTCTTTAAAATTGATTCTCGTTAAAACGACTTAAATTTGTCAACAAAAATAACAAAGATTTGTTCCAATTGTGTATTTGCTGTGCCAATAACTACAAAGATTTTTAACCTATCACCAGATTAGTTGATTTCAATAACCGATCAATGGTCTTGTGTGTTTTTGTCTCCTGGCAGAGCACCATGTCATGTCGTCCTTTAAGAGGAACCCGTTGGAGCAGGCTTTCCGCAGACCCAACGCCAACATCACCTCCAACTACCTGATCAACCAGTACTGGATCCTGGTCAGCCACAAGTTCCCGGCCTTCATCTACGACCTCTTCCTCCGTCTGTGTGGACAGAAGCCGCAGTGAGAACAGCAAATATCCCGTTTCCTCGGTTTGCTCCGTGACGAAAATGTTTGTCAGCATCCAAGGTCTGTGCTTCCCTGCAGGATGATGCGCATCTTCAACCGGCTGCACAAGGCGATCCACCTGCTGGAGTACTTCAGCAGCCAGGACTGGGAGTGGAGCTCGGAGAACGTGAACATGCTGATGGGCCAGCTGACCCCTGAGGACAGAAAGGTCAGCCTGAGCGCCTTCCTGCAGGAGCATTCGCACCCCTTGATGTCGAAACCAAAACCAGTAAAAGTAAACGTGACGATGTCTCACACAGACGATGTGTGATGTTGTTCTTCCACTTGAAACGTTCAGCTTATTACCGATCAATATTATAATCAGAACTGGCTCAGAAAATAGTCATAATGTCAGCAGAATGAAGTCCTAAAGTTACAACAAAATACTTGTCATTATCAATATCTTTAATCTGATGTGTTAAAAGATGAAATATTGCAAATCTTATCCAAAGTTTAACTTCACAAGATGCTCAACATTCCTCATTTAATTTACTTCATTCTCCTCATAAAAAGTTTTTGTTTTGGTAAAAAAACTTTTATTTATTCTCACATTATTTCCTCTTCGTTGTCGTACGATTTCATTATAACATTATTCTTGTGATTTAAAAAATAAAATATCATTGCTTTGTCCTAATATTCTGTCATAAAATCAAACTGACAAACAAGATGGCTGCCCTGGGATCGCTGACATCACTTATCACCACGAAAACCCCTGGAGAGTTGAAAGAAAAAAGTAAAGATTTTCTCAAAAATTAAATCTTCAAAAGCCAAAAATGTGATTAATCAATTAAATTTTTTAAGTGTTTTGAGGGAAAATTGCAGGGCATTTAAGCAGTTAATGTTGTTAAAAAGCACCAAATAGTTTTAAGTTAATTAAATTTATTAGTCTGGATGAATATAATCTTTAAAACGAACTTGTTTTTGTTATTTAACATCCTGAAAATGAGTTTCTGACTCCGTCCTTCCTTCAGAGTGAACATTCTTCCGTTCTGTGGTTTTGGTTTTATTGACGTTCCCTTTGGGTCCAGTGAAGCATTTCTGACTTTGAATTGAATTTGTTTCCAACAGACATTTAACTTTGACGTGCGTCAGCTGAACTGGCCCGAATACATCGAGAATTACTGCATCGGCACCAAGAAGTACGTCCTGAACGAAGACATGTCCGACATTCCTGCTGCCAGGCAGCATCTCCGAAAGTAAGTCAACTATAGAAATATACTTTATTAGAATGATTTTGGAGAAAACCTGATCAATTGGATGCGTCTTAAATAGGTGGAAGTTACTTAAAGTTAAAGAGCTGAGCACCAGTTGCTATGGTTATTCCCGCCTTTTCTTTGTGAGACTTTGGGAGGGGCCGTCATTTTATGTAAATTTTGCTTTTAAACAAACAGTAACTCTGAAAACAGTAAGTTGTGTCACAATTATGAGATCATGAGTGTAAAGTTTTAAGTTGAAGATGTGATTATTTATAGAGAATTTATGAATTTGTCTTTTCTGATAAACCCTAGTTAAGTTTTTAAAAACCTGCGCTATTGGCTACCCATTTCTGCAGGTCAAGGGTTAAATGAAAGATCTGGGTTTGGACCTGATTGGTGTCTTGTGGTTGTCCTCCAGGTTGAGGAACATCCGGTACACCTTCAACACCCTGCTGGTGGTCTTCATCTGGCGGGTGTTCATCGCCCGCTCCCAGATGGCCAGAAACATCTGGTACTTTGTGGTCAGCCTCTGTTTCAAGTTCCTCTCCTACTTCCGTGCTTCCAGCACCTTAACCAACTGAGTCTTCCTCACAGCCTTGAGCCGGAGACAGGCAGCCTTCGCCTTCAGCTGTCAGCGGTAAAAAACAAAACAAAAAAAAGTCACCTTAAACTCAGACGTTCCTGACGTGGACAAACAGGGCTCTCTGCACGGACGTCTGACAGAAGGAAAATAACGAGGTCTATTTGCTATGTAGTTACTGGTTGAGTTGGGAAACTTGACATTAACCGGTCAGAAAAACCCTGTCCTACAAAGAAAATGTTGTCTTTTTATTTTCTACCCAATGTTTTCCTTCAAAGTGGCCAATTATATATGCAACAATACGCCTTCTGTGTGACTTCCCACTTCCTTCCCCGACCTCCTGCCTTGTGACAGCTGTTCTCCATACTTGAAATGCATCATTGCAGCAGAGGTGGACTGACTCTACGTAGTTATTTTTATTTTATGTTGTTTTGTTCTTGAATATGTCTCGCATTATGTGCATCTACTGCCTTTTTAAGATGACTGTCCAGACGATTTGCCCACACATGACATCAGAACGCTGAGACAAGCTAGGCTCGACCGGATGTCTTTGAGGGCGAACCTGAATCCTCATCTGCTTTGTTTGTACAGCTGTTTGTACTGAAGTGGGTTTACTACTTTTACATCTTTATACTTGCACCAAAAAGCAAGTCTGATTGTGTGTTAGACCTCAGCAGTGTGGTATATATATAAATAATAGTACATCAGAGTGGATTTTATTTATATAGCATTGTACAAACTGTAGATGGTTCCTTAAAATGGTCCTAATCAGGGTGTTGAGAGGATGACCTAAAAGATTTTTAAATAAAGTGCAGTGGACCCCCGATGTCCCCTGGTTTAAAAACCCTCAGCTACCAACTTTAACAACTAAAAACACAAAATAAATCTTAATTCGCATTGATGCACATGGTGGGAACTGTTTCAGCATTGCCAAGTTCCTGCTCGGCAATCAGTCTTGGTAAAAATGTTGATTCGTCGATGCCTTGCAGTTCATTCTTCCAATTAAATATAATTTCTGAAAACCCTGTGAATCAATTGGAAATCTTGTCACGCAACAAATAAATCAGCAAAGGGTCGTTTAAAACGGTTCTTCATTTTGACTTTATCTCCAAATATTGGTGGGCCTTAAATTGTACGTATTAATAACCTAAATCAGCCAATCACAAACTAAATCAGCTGTTCAGATGTTTCTCCCAGTACACAGCTCACTGCTCCTGTTCGTCTGAAGCTAAAATGGCTGCAGGTCAGTTTGGCGTCTGCCGTCATTTCTGTGCACTGATGAAAACTAACGGCGCTCTGATATTGGCTGCTTCACAAACAACACCAGTTTCACTCCGTTGAGGTACTTTAACTGCGTTTTCTTTCAATCAAATTAGATTTACTCTACGAGAAGAATTATGTTCCGAAGAAAAATCTACAAAAACCGAATTGAGAACAGGTGGAGGTCCACTGCACTGGAGATGAATGAAGGATTATGATGCATCTAACGCTAAAGAACTCAAAGCAGTTTTAAAAAGTATTTGTCCAATATCAATCATATAATTTATTTGGGTGTGGGGAGTGTTAAGTGAACGATTCAGAGTGAAATCAAAGTGGTAACCGTTAGCAATAGTTGTTTCTCTGAAAAATACACTCTGAAGGAGTCCAAGTACACAACCATGAGGGACGCCACATCTAACAGAATGGAGAAGCGCTGCTATTTAAGGGAGGAGACCCATTTGTTTGGCGTGGTTGGTATCCAGTTTTATAAGAAAACTTTAGCTTACCAAAAACTTGTATTTGTTGAATCATTGCTGTATTCACAGGACTACAGAGCTTCCCTCTAACTACAAGAAGTATTTAACGTAAAGTCTGAGGGGAACTGGGCGGGCGGTGTTGTCGGCTTTTAAACTGAATGAGCTCTTATGGGAGAAAAAGGGAAGAAACTAAATGTTTATGCAAAACTCTGGTTTTGTTGTGTGTCTGCGTCGGGTCGTGCTCGGACTGCGTGATGATTCGGTTTCGTCAGGTCGTCCCCAAACAGCTACAGGGCTATCTTCATGCTGTCATCCATGTTTGTCCGTTTGGTAACAGCACCGTCTTTGTTCACTCAAAATGCGACGCCGGCGCGAACGGCAACACATAACCGAGAACATCTTATTCTCACTGGTGTCATTTTTGCTAATTGTTTGACCACCTGTGTTCCCCGCTCTGACGAGATTCAGTCTGCTTGGCAAAACTGAAATAAAGTGGATAAAAAGCGCATCTGTGCTCCTGTCTGATTCACAAATGTGGACTTTGTTTCTTTTTTCAAATCTCCTCCTGCTGGTTGATACTTTACGTTTTCGGGGATTATCTCATTAAAAACACAATAGATTTTCTTTGTTTGCATTCTTTTAATCTATTAAATAACAAAACGTAAGACATTGTTTTAAACAATTAAAACTCAAATTTACACAGACTAAAAACACAATTAATGCAGTTACACGGGGATATTTAACCTGCAGTGCAGAGAAGAAGATGAATTTTACTGAAACAAACATCTTCCAGAGATGAAGGTCTTTAGATCACAGTGAGACTAGAGCGCAGCGTTTCCCCCCAGAAGAGGAACTTGGTGATTGTTCAGGTTATTCAGCTGCAGCTCCTGCAACAGATTCAGTGTTTAAAAGCATTTAAACGTTTCCACCGATGGCCGTGTTCATGTCCAGAACCGAATCCATCGGACTCACCTGTCTGGGTCTGTAGGCGCCGAGTCTAAAGCGACAGCAGACGATGTCGAAGCAGAACCCGACCAGGCTGTGAAGCATCCCTTCAAGCAGAAAGACAGGTTTAGAAATGACAGCGTGTTTTTAACATGCATGCAGGAATTGTGGGTGATTGTTTAAATACTGATGAATTTGGTGGCAGTGAGAACATTAATGGTTTTGATTTGATTGGATGCTAAAGGAAACATGAAACTAGTGGTCCAAAAGTTCAAGATAAATACAAATAAGTAATTCAGAAATAATGTGAATTGATCGTGTTAAACTTCAATTCTGGAATAAATTTCAGGCAAATATAAAGACCAGACAGAAACCATGGATGAATGTTTGGACAGATGAATGTATGGATGGACGGTTGTTTGGATGGATGGACGTCCTGCTGTCTGGCTGGATAGACTGTGGTCCTCCCAGGCTGCCGTAGCTGGTAAACATGGCCGCCGACTCGCCTGTGGTGGAGAAGATTCCCCCGACGATGCCGCAGAGCCGCACCAGGAAGCGTCCCAGCGCCATGTGCTGCTCGCTCACCGTCACCATCAGGGAGCTGGTGTCGTACTTCACGAAGATCCCAGAGACACCGTGACTGCCCGCCGCGTGGTTGATCACCCGCTCCTCACACACACACACACACACACACACAAAGTTAGCACACCCACTCAGGTTCACCTGAAGCAGTCAGGCCTGGCCACTCACTCGCTCCGTCACAGAGAACTGGTGTGTGTCTGCGGAGATCACGTGTGTGTTCAGCTTGGTGGGAACCACTGTGATGAAGTATTGGTACATCTGGTTATCTGAAGACAGGAGAAAACCACATTTTACTTATTTAAATTAAAAACTCTGCATTTCACACTACAAAAACAAAAAATCTGGCCAAGAATTTTTGGTCTAGTTTCTGTAGCAAATATCTTTGTGAACTAGAAATAATACAAAACTAACTTACAATTAACTTTTCAGCCAGATATAGGAGCTTCTTTTAAGTGAATAATTCCTTAATATTTATTTTGAAAACCAATACTTCCACTAGTAGATTATCACTTTTAACAATATATTTTCCCTCCCTGCTATAAGTGAAATAAGTTTTTTATAGTCTATAGTTCTTGTACATTGATAAAAAGTGCTAGTTTTATTGGCTTTTTTTCACTTTTATGTGAAAACATTTGAAAGAGTAACTTGTACTTTTTATCAATATACAAAAATTATTAACCTAAAATAAGCTCCAATTAAGTTACATGTAAGTTACTTTTGTTTTATTTCACATGTACTAAGATATTTGCACTAGAAACTAGACCAAAAATTTTTTAATTTTATTTTTGCAGTTTATGCATTTTTGTACTTCCACTTGGATCTCGAAAGAAAAAAAAAACTTTATATATTTTGGTGATGTGAAAAATGTCACAAAAAACCCCGAATGTTGATTAAATGAGTAGAAACTGAACTGACCCTCGAAGACTAGCCCGTTACCTAGCAACCACGACAGAGTTCCACCCGTTACCTAGCAACCACGACAGAGTTCCACCCGTTACCTAGCAACCACGACAAAGTTCCCCCCCAGTACCTAGCAACCCAAACAGAGTTCCAGCAGGCTTGCTCAAAATAAACTCACGAGAATAATTTTGAACAAAAAGTTAAATCACACAGACGACATGTAATCTGTTCGGTTGATAAAAGACAAAAGGCGCCATTTTGTCTTTTAGATTGAATAAATTTACTGTTGTAGGTGATTTTCTCGGTGCCGTCCAGAGGATTGATTAAGCCTGGAACCTCTTCGCCGAAAGACAAATGGTCAATTCGATGGGAGAAGTTGTACGCTGCAGAAAGACGAGGGGACAAAAGTTAATCTCTTAGTACGCTGCAAAAAGACAAAGGTTTTAGTGCAAATATCTCACTGCACTTAAAATAAAGCAAAACTAACTTAGACGTGACTTTTTAGCAATTTATGGGAGTTTAAGTCAATAATTCCTCAGTACTAATTGTAACAAAGTGCAAATTAGAAGTGAAATAAACCTGCCAGTGGAACAAGACATTTTAAATTACAATCTGCTCAACTGGCAGATTATTAAAAATATTTTCTGTCATTTTCTGAAGTTTTTCAGTTTAAATAAAATTGGACCTGGTAGAGAGGACAACTCTTACCCTCATGACTCACAAAAGCAGCGATGTGAGCGTGGCCCTGCGGATGGTGAATCGGCCTAAAAATACAAAATGTTAGTCAGGAGATCAACCTGATGTGTATTTTTCTAACATTTTTGGAAATTTAACATCAATTTAAACAGTCCAAAAAAATAAAGGTAATGTAAATCTAACAAAATGTTTTCCTTACAATGTAATAAATAAAGCGTGCAAAGTGAAAACACCAGTAAATCTACCTGAGAATTAAAACAAAGTATTTTTTCATTTCTAGTGCAAATATATTACTGCACTGAACCCACAACAAAATACGTAACTTTTCACCGAGATATATGAGCTTATTTTAGGTTAATAATTATTTAATATTAATCAAAACTATTGAGTTATCCTGGCATAAGAGATTTGCCAGTGAAACTGGTATTTGTATGAATATTCAGTAATTGTTGACTTAAAACAAGCTCATATCTTGGTGAAAAGTTTTTGTCTTATTTTAAGTGAACTAAAATATTTGCACAAGAAACAAAATAAAAATATATTTAAGGTTTTATGTTTTTACAGTGTACAGTTTTTCCAGTACTTCTATTTGCTTCTCAAAAAAAAAAAAAAAACGTTTTTTGGCAACAAGTTTAGAATTTTTGGTGCCAGGGTGTTTAATATTTATACACTTTTGTTCATTTTTGTCGTTAAAATGAACCAAAATCCTTTTTCTTTTCCAAAGATGAAATTAAAGATATAAAAAAATTGATACCTAAACATTATTTCCTTACTTTCCGACAGTGATGTGCAGGTTTCCTGCCACCTTATTGACGTAAGCGTGTCCGTGAATCCTGCAGGCGGTGAGCGGCTCGTTGGGAGCGTCCTCCCTGAAACCAGAGCACACGTCAAAACGTTTTCGCTGAGTCATGCTTTACCAGCTGCGCGGTCTGGATGGAGGCGAACCGAGGCGGCAGAGCGGTGGGCGCTCCCTGCAGCAGCGTTTTGTACAGAACCTCCTGCAGAGCGTGCTCCTCCCTCAGCCTGCTCTGAAGGAGATGCAGCGTCCTGAAGGACAAGAACAAGCAGAACAACTGACATGAATCTCGTCCTTAAAACATAACGCTGAATACTTCTATTAAACGTCTCTTACCTTTGCCACAGCCTCTGTTGTGGGGATAATTCAAAAATAACCTGATTAAAAGCACAAAGATTTTAATGATTTCTTTCATCCACTCAATTTTCTGACTGATTTCAGGAGCTGGAGCTGAAATTTTACTGTTTGGTCCAAAATACTAAAAACACTTTTCAAGAAAAATTTTTTTTAAATTATATTCTAAAGTATGAAGTTTCTTTGTTTACACAATTTATGGTTTTTACAGTTTACAATTTTGACTTAAAGTGTCGCAAATTTATTTCTTTTTTACATTCTAAAGGTCTTGCATCGAGTTGCTTTTTTTCCATGTGAATTGTTGTTAATGTGTTGCCATATAATTCATATCCTTTACTTTCTTAGTTTGTTTTATGAATATTTGAGTTTAATTTCTTGGATTGTTGTCGGGCTTTTTCTCTCTTTGATTTCTTGAGTCTTAGTTCAGATTCCTTTGGGTTAATCGGTTTCCTCGTTGAGTTTTCCTGCTACTCTCCGTCCCACAGCTGTTTCACGCCTCCTTTAATTAGCTCATCTGGTTCTTTACAACCTCATTCAGTATTTCAGCTCCTGATTTCTCATTGCTTCCTTGCTTATTAACAGGTGAACTCACAGGTTCGTACTGCAGGCCGTTGGATGTGATCATTGTTTCTGCCAGATCCAAGATGTCTGCTCCCACATCTGCAATAAAAACACAGAAATAAATCCTGAGTTCAGACATTTCAACATATTTAAACAGTTTAATGAAGAAAGTCAGCTACTCACGCTGGCATTTCATTGCTACTGTGACGTCCACGTTTATTCTTAGTTTACTGCGGTCAAGAAAAAGATATATAGTTTTATATTGCGCAGTTTAACATTTTTTATGTTAAAAATGTTAAAAGTTGACAGAACATTTGAAAATTTAACTGTTATTGACTGTGCTATTTACAATACTAAAACACCAACCATACTCTTTAAAAAACGCAAACAAAATGAAATATGATTAAAAACTATATATTACCTAAAATGGACAATATATATTTCTGCTTTTATTTTTAATTATGTCACTTTAAAGTGGTCCTCCATTAAAATAATTGAATAAATGTAATTTATTTCAGAAAAATATGCAGAAAAGATTGTGCTTTGATTCTTATCGTGCTTTAAATATAACAAAGATAAAAACAAAAAGCTTCTAAGCACTTTTTTTCTGTCAACACTGTGTTTTTCCGATTGAGAGGTTTTTAAATAAACAAATATTTCTGTACTGGTTTTGTCTTGAATGTTTTCCACCAATGTTTCAGCTTTTTTGTTTCCTTTGGAAAGGTTGAAAATTACTGAAAAATAAATAAATAAACTTTATTTTTCTGCCAGGCTCAACTTCCTAAAACCGGCGGAGGAGTAAGTTGAGTCTGGTGGCCCGCCAGGCTTATAACACTTTGGGAGAAATCCTGCAACGTATCGATAAATGCTAACCTGGAAAAATCCTTGTCAACTTCATATTCATACTTCATCCAAGTGTCTCGGTAAACAAAGAACTCCAAGATGGCCAGAACCGCCATGGCGCTGAACGCTATGATGGACACTGCAGAGGAGACGGACGGAGTGGTTACGCTTAAATACTGAATCAGGTTGTAAAGAACCAGATGGTTGGTTTGTGTTTCTGGTGCCGGTTCTGTTTGGTTTCAGGTTTCTGGTCCCACCTGTCCCCCCGGATGCAGACGTTTCCACGTAGCTGTCGGCCACTTTGGGGAAGGCGTCCAGCTCCCTCACCAGACTTAGGGCTTTCCTTCTGGACAGACGCCTCATCTTAGCGGTCAGGACGGCTCTCCAAATCCTCCAAACACAAAATATGTTTAAAACTAATTTAAAGCTGCAGTCTGTAACTCTTATAACAAGATGTTGTTACATATTAATTGAAACTTTCACTATGTCACGAAAGTATATGGAACAGATAAAATGGGATAAAATCTCCTGCTCAATGCGATAACTACAAAACAACCAATCAGATCCAAGAGGCGGGTCTTAGTGATCGATCACTTCCTCTGCTCCCCTGTAGTTAGCAGAGCCTGTTGTAAATCCTAAGGCTAGTTAGGATAACCACAACTGAGAGTAAATAAACCGGTTTCCTGTAAACCCTTTCTTCGCTGTTAGCACATTTAGCAGCATGTACATGAGGAAGATTGTCAGCGCTGGTTCTTATTGGTTGTTTTTGGTCAGTAGCAGTGCATTTTTAGCAGTAGTATATCTGGAAGAAAGTGGAAGATATAAATCTTTTCACAGATTATTTTTGTATATTATTAGTATTAATAATATAATTAAATTTTTACATGTTTACATTGATTAATTTAAATGATTTAATTTATTTAATTAAATAACTGTTGCACGTTTTATATCAATATTCACATTATTTCTATACTTACTCTCAATTATGGCAGTTTTGTACCTCTTTAAAAACTGAAGCTAAATTAAGGGGGGAAACCAATATTCTGACATTGTTCTATTTCATAAACCCGTACTAACATTTCTGCAGGCTAATTGCAACATATTAAAATATTTTTAACTAACATTTGGTTAAATATTTATTTCGCATACCTGTTTTATTTTAGCACTTTATTAAACATTAATTATACAATTGTGTCTGGACGTCATAATGACAGGAAGACGACAAAATAAATGTATATAAAAACTAAAACTGCTGGTTTGTTAAAGGAGCAGACTGGTATCCATGGAGATGAACATAAAAGTGACCGTTAACGCTCCTTTCTCGGCGCAAACAGCCTTCGCTGATGTGACGTCACTGTTTTTTAATCGTCTCACCTGTTTTATCATCCAGTCGGTCTTAAAATCAGCCCTCAGTTTCCGTGGCGACCAGCAGAGTCACAGCTGAAACGACATTTGGTTGTTTTAAACGCAACATATCGAAGGATGTTCAACCGCAAGAGGCGGAGCGGGCAGCGGGTCGCCTTCGACCGTTACGCCGTTACGTGGTGACGTAAACTGGTGATGCGTAGAGCGTGCTAGGAGTAGTAAACAATAACACCAGCAGATGGCGCCTTAACACCAAATTTATTTTTTAAGTTTGTCAAACAGAAAAGTTTTTGATTTTTTAAAATATCTATAACATGCATATAAAATTTTTTATATCAGACAAATAGGACCAAAATAAACCCAAATGGTAGATCATTTGATTTGTTATAGGGAAAAAAAAAATCTTTATTTTTTTGTCTAATTTGTACTCCAAATAGGCTACCTTAGTTACGACAGGGTAAATAAGAAAAAAATGTATAAAAGATTACGAGAATAAAGTTATAAAATTGCCAGAATAAAGTCAAAGCACTACGAGGATAAAGTGGTAATAATATGATAATAAAGTCTTACATTACAACAATAAAGTTGTTATATTCTGACTTTATTTTCATAAGTACTAGTGAGAGTGAAATATTCTGTCAATGGAATGAGATATTTTAACTTATAATAAAGGAAAAATGTGGTATTAAATTAAATAATGGGCTATGCCAATAATATTTTTAAATATCAAAATTAGCAAATTGACTTAAAATGCACACTGAGGTTCTGAAAACAAAAGACTTTTTTATTTTATATGACAGTGCAAAAATACAAAATCTTACTAAGTATTTTTGGACTTTTACTTGTGCAAATATCTTATGAGACTTTAAAAAATGACAAAACTAATTTGCAAGACTTTTTTGCAACAGATAGGAGTTTGTTTAAAGTCAACAGTTTCTTAAGACTTTTAAACACACTGATTATTTCACTTATAGCTTGCACTTCAACATTAACGAGTTATTGCTCATATATCTTGCTAAAAAATCTACTTGTAAGTTAGTTTTGTTTCTTTTCAAGTGTGGCAAGATATTTGCATCAGAAATAGAGCGAAAATACTTTGCTTTTGCAGCGTGTTAACTGATTTCATGCTATTTTTCTAATCCAAACTTGCATTTTATTTGCAGTTCACAGCACGAGTGTTGCACTTTCTTCCTGCAAAACATTGTCAAATCAGTCTAAGAGTAGCTTAGAGAACTGTTTACACCCATAAAGTCAACAATCTGCAGATGAGTCTTCGTGCATCTTCAGTGGACGCAGTGGAGCTGCGATGCAGAGCAGCACAGATGGATGTGAGGGGGGATGGGTTGCTGTCAGCTCTCGGATCAGGCTGTGGGTCGGTGGTCCCATTGCTATTCAGCACGGAGGCACGTAGGGCATGTCAGACATCCTCCACTGAGACACGCTGAGCGTCTGCGTTGTGTTTTGATTTTTTTTTTTTTAAGCTCCTCTGAGCTGCTCAGGCTGAAAATGGATGCTGTAATGTGTGCAGCCATGCAAATATTCAGCGCTGGAATGAGTCAGAGAAACAGCTTTTGTTTGCTTGGCGAGATAACCGCATGTTTATAGGTTACTGACAAATAACTGCTGATTATGCATAATGAGATTCAGTTTTATTTTATCCTCATAAGCCTAATTGAATATGGGTCTAAATTATGCAGATTAACTTCTAATTGTATTTGAAATGTTACATTTTATTGACAGGTAAATTATGCATTTGGAGTCAGACGACATAAATGGATTAATTCAATTTAATGTAATCTATTTTCTTAATATGCCCGAGTATTTTTTATTTATTTATTTGTCTTTTTTATTTTTATTTTATTTTATTTTACAAGTTACTGAGTAAATAAAATGTGAAATAATCAGATTAATTAATTTTTTTAAAATTTAATTTTAATAAAACCAAGTGAGAACATGAGTCAGTAACATTACAATGTTATTGATATGTAAATTATGAACATTTGAATTGAAGCACCTAAATAAAGTGACATATTATTATTTTTCTAATTTAATTAAATTATATTTATTATATTTTATTGCATCTGACTGAATATAAAGATGAATGGTTGTGATGATTTTATTTGCAACATTTTAAAACGTTTTGTTATAAAGAAGATTTTATAGGAAAAAAGACAATAAATAATAAAAAATACATGCACATTGACTCAATACACAAAAATCTAAAAATTATACAACATTGAACTAAAACTCGACAAAAATTCACAATGAGATTTGGGTTTTGTTTCTCTGTCGTGGGCTTCATTAATCCCTACTTGTATCACACAATATTATATTGGGGTTATAGTCATGTTTTTTTTTTCAATATTTAGTAAAAAACAAAATAATTTAGGAAAATAAACCTCAGCTTGTTCTTGAGAAGAAAAATCATGACACAGTTTTATTATGTCATCCCTTTCTTTTTGGAAAAAGCCTATTGTTCGTGTGCCTACATAGACAGATGGAAATGAATAATTTGGAAACTGACGTCAGAGGATTTCGTAACGGTTCGGGATTATAGCAAGACAATATATCATACAATAATTGAAGCGTCTCGAGACGTCACAAGATGATTTTTTCCCCCTCACGTCTGTTGATAACGTTGACTTAAAACATTTATTAGTAGATTAGGAGACACACCTGCAATCTATATTTTAGTAAGGCTAACTTTATTTTTCTGATGTTATTTTCTATCTACTGAACTTGTTCCATTTGGAGGTCAAGAAGATTCAGTAAATGCTAAATATAGATATACCTGTATTAGTTTTATTAGTTTTACATTGAAAACAATATACATTAGGAAAATGTTTCTTCTACCTACATTTGTATTTTTTATATTTTGCTTGTAAATATGATTGTTTTTGTTTTTGTTTGTCTCTCAATTTTGAAATATTATATAAAATGTTCAGATGAGATATTCGGCGCTTTTACACGAGTAAACATGTTGAAGAAGTACTACTTGAAATTGATTACAATTTTTGGATACGCTTCCTGCCTCAGATTATATGCTACAACGATCTACCGTACTTCTCTGTCCTCGGCTTCATCCGGATGCCCCGTTATCACCTCGGGTGTTTCCGGACGCTTAAATTCTCACCTCGGGTGTTTCCGGATTGTGGGTTAAATCCCCGCCCGCTTCATTCCTGCGTTGTTTGGGGACAGTAGGAAGATGGCGGCGGCCCCGCTGTACTGTGTCTGCCGGCAGCCCTACGATGTGAGCCGGTTTATGATCGAATGCGACATCTGTAAGGACTGGTTCCACGGCAGGTAGGTTGTTTGGGATGCTTTTAACGGACGTGGCTCGGTGAAGGCGACAAACACTGGTTGTTTAGTTAATAAAGCCGACGGTTTCTCCGAGCGGTGTTGACTGGTGGCTAAGTTAGCTTGCTAACACTAGCGGTGGGCGACGGGGGTTTTAAATCGTCTATTGACGCGACTTAACGAGCGAAAGTGGGGTTGCGATGTCTTCCACATCGTTTTGAGCTTACATAGGTTTTCAGCTGGACACATTAAAACACCCGACGTGAACCTGGAGGTCTTAAATCGCCTCTCAGTTGGCGTTATGGAGTTAAATACTTATTTTGAGTGTGAACGTTAGAAGGAGACAGCGCTGTGTCAGTCAGCCCGAGATCAAAAGCTTAGTTGAGTGATCGGAACATACAAAGCCTTCGTGTTTTCTCTTCATTACAGTTCACTGAGATTTATAGGATAAAGTGTTAGAAAACTCATGGCGTAGCTTCAGTCTGTCTGACCTGATTATGAAACGTGAACTCAACCTTTAGAGTTTACTTTAAACTTAATTAGATTCACCTCACTCCGTAGTTTGTGTTTGTTTGGAAACACTCTGCAGGGCTTTTGTTTACTTTACAGACACTTCTAGAGTGGTTTTTATTTTCAAGAAAAAATACATATGTCCACATAATGTTTTGACCTCGTACGTTAGAGGACGAGGGGCTTGTTATGATGGGTCTTTTTGATTGACAGCTGGAGAAATTTAAATCCCTCTTTCAAGCCACATGGCAGGAGCCCCCTAGCGGCTGACAGCGGGATAATTTAAAGGAACCAAAGCATGTAGTTGTCCTCAGGTTACTTCTTTGTCCTACTTTCCACTTTCCTTTTTGATTTACTGTTCTCATTATGATCTCGAGTGAGTTACTGTTGCGTGAGATTGTCATATGATTCATATCGTGTGGGTGTTGGTTGCATGAATTTATTGTTGTGTAATATGACCCAATCAAATGTACGCTTGCTATCCAACATTTTACAAGTCAGTCTGATAACGAGAGCAACTTTGGAAGTTTAAAATGTAACATTCTATGGGATAAAAAGACATATTTGCTTGCTTACTTGTGCAGGATGTATGGCTGCAGCTAACGATTATCTTAGTCAGTGGTTATTCAAATGATTAATTGAGTATTCGGATAAAAAACTGGCAAATTCTGCAGATTTTGCAGGTAATTATGTGAGCTCATTTCATACAATATTACAAATTTGTAAGAAAATAAACATTTTATTGCCTAAAAGGCAGTAAATGAATGCTTGATCATTTGCAGATTGACATATTTTTGATTTGACTGATTCATAATTGGATTGCAAAAGATGCTGAATAGGACATTTTTGTTTTTGTCAGGTGAAGCTAAACTATGCCACTCTATTAGTCCTGGGTAGAACATATATTTTTTAATTTTAAATAGAAAGTTAATATATTTGTATACAGTTTTGCTTAATTATTGTGAAGTTCTTCCACAAGAACTAAGTTACTTGATGATTATTTAAGTAATCTATTAACCATTATTAACCATTTCAGCTCTAACAGGATGTAGATAAAAGTAGTGGATCAGGTTAAAGCAGTCAGTCTGATTTTCAGCAAATATTGTTTTCTTTTTAGTTTGTATCCTCCAGTTGATGACTAATTGATTACTAAATTGGTTGATGATTATTTCAGTCAATCGATTAATCACGATTAATCGGTTCAGCTTTACAGGATGTAGTTAAAAGTAGTAGTCCAGTTTCTAGTAGTTATCCTTAATTATTCCTAATGGACCAGGGAGTTGGGTATCCCTGTCAAACTCAGTTTTGTTTGCATCAGGGCTGTCGTCATAGATTTTATTCACTTTATGCAGCGCCCACTTTTCAT